TCTACTAATACACTATAGAATCTGTAAATGCCAAATTTGAAATGGCTAAAAATAAGCAAAACACTCATATCCACATCCATTATACATCCTCTAATTTTAGATAGTTAAAGAGGAAAACTGGGAATTTAACACCAAGAAGCAATGTGTTACTAAAGTATATTACTCTATTAGACATTGAAAATTTGGAAGGAGTCAACCACAGTATGTAATCTATCCTTCACCTTCTCCCACCTCCTCTCGTTCGCTCCAGTTGTCAATGTATAGAACTTTCCTGCATTAGGATTCATCATTTAAAATGCAACATCATTGAAATGCATGTCAAAAGAGATGAAAGAAGTTGGTGTGACACATTGATTTTAGATGCACAAGTAGCAAATACAATAGGAGGGAGCCGGGGTACACATTAAATGGAACCAAGGAAGTGTTGGGCTGACTGTCATTAACTTACTGTTTAAACTAAACAATGAAAAGCTTCTCAATTGAAGATAAAGATGATGTAATTACAATAGTGTCTTACCATCAGGTATTTCAGCGCATGAAAGATTCAAAACTCCAGATTCAAAACCATCAGGGCTTCGAAGAGGGAAATTAAGCAGGAATAAATCTAAATGTTCATTTGGTCAATCTAAATGTTCCTTGTTTGCAAAAAGATTCCTTGTTTGCAAAAAGATCTAAATGTTCATTTGGTCAATCTAAGGTTGAATATCTGGGGCATATCATAACTGTGGAAGGGGTGTCAACTGATCCTTCCAAGATCAAGGCCATGACTGACTGGCCTACCCCCAACTCTGTGAAAGCCTTAAGGGGATTCTTGGGACTGACTGGGTATTACAGGAAGTATGTTGCCAACTATGGCACCATTTGCAGGCCCTTAACTGAATTACTAAGAAAGGATGCTTTTAAATGGGATGGGGAAGCAGACTTAGCATTTGAGAAATTGAAGAAGCCTATGTTCTCTACACCTGTACTTGCACTACCTGATTACAGTAAAGATTTCATAGTAGAGACTGATGCCAGTCAAATGGTCATTGGAGCTGTACTAATGCAGGAAGGTAGGCCCATAGCTTATTTTAGTAAAGTCTTAACACCAAGGCACAGGGGCAAGTCTATCTATGAAAAGGAGTATATGGCCTTGCTAAATGCAGTAGAAAGTGGAGGCATTATTTGCAATACAAGCATTTTGTGGTAAAAACTGACCATCACAGCTTGAAATACCTCCTAGAACAGAGAGTAACTACAGCTATACAACAAAAGGGACTGACTAAGCTACTGGGAATGGACTATGAGGTGCAGTACAAGAAGGGAGCTGAGAATAGGGTTGTTGATGCTCTGTCTAGACAACAAGAAGGCCTTGAGGATTCAAGAAATCAACTACAAGGGGTCTTACAAGCCATCAGTATTTCACTTCCTGCATGGGTACAAGAAATAACACACAACTATGAAGGAGATCCTAATGCCACTGAAGTCATTAGCCAGCTAGCTGTGACTCAACAAGGGCCTAATATATGGCACTATAATGCTGGTATACTCAGGAAGAAAGGGAAAATCTACATTGGTACCAATGGGGACCTAAGAGCGCAGTTGATATCCACCTTTCATGACTCTCCTATAGGGGGACATTAAGGACAGCTGGGGACCCTAAGAAGACTGTCCCAGGTATTTTATTGGCCGAGAGTGAAACAGATGGTCATTGATCATGTGGCCAGCTGTGAGGTGTGCCTCAGAAACAAGGATGACCATAGGGCTTACCCAGGGTTACTGCAGCCCCTACCTATCCCAAACCAAGCTTGGAGCCACATTAGCATGGACTTTATAAAAGGGTTGCCAAAATCCAGAAATAAGGAAGTTATTTTAGTGGTTGTGGATAGGTTGACAAAGTATGCCCACTTCATAGCCCTTGCCCACCCCTACACAGCTGTTATTGTGGCTGAAATATTTTGGGAAAAGATACATTGTTTACATGGGATCCCCGAATCCATTGTAACAGATAGAGACAAGGTGTTCTTGAGCCATTTTTGGCACGCTCTATTCAAGCTCTTGGGAACACAACTCCACTACAGCACTGCCTACCACCCCCAAAGTGATGGACAAACAGAAAGAGTCAACAGGTGTCTGGAGAATTACCTAAGGTGTATGACTGCTAATAGGCCAACACAATGGCAACAATGGTTGCCTACTGCAGAATGGTGGTACAACACCAATTTCCATACCAGTTTGCAATGTACCCCCTTTGAAGCTCTTTATGGGTTCTCACCTCCTCAACTATCCTTAGGGCCCTTGCTAGAAACTATGGTGCCAGCTGCTGAAGGGATAGTAATGCACAGACAACAGATGCAGCAGTTACTGAAGGATCACCTTACTAAAGCTCAGGAGAGAATGAAATACTATGCTGATAAAAAGAGATCAGACAGGGAATTTCAAGTTGGAGACATGGTATACCTGAAGTTACAGCCCTATAGACAGACATCACTAGCCTTAAGGAGGAATTTGAAGCTGAGTTCCAAATATTATGGTCCTTACATGGTCTTAGCAAGAATTGGGAAAGTGGCTTACAAACTAGACCTTCCACCTGCTTCCAAGATCCACCCTGTATTTCATGTGTCCTTGCTCAAAAAGAAGGTAGGAGATAAGGTCGTAGTGCAGACTACTCTTCCTATGACTTGGGAAGATGGTAAGTTCCTGGTCAGGCCAGTTGCTATTTTGCAAAGGCAGCTCATAAAGAGGGATAATTCTGCAGTGGTAAGAGTATTGATACAATGGTCCAATCTTCCTCCTGAAGATGCTACATGGGAGGACTATCACTATATCAAGGCGAGATTTCCAGACTTTGATCCCAATCCTTGAGAGAAGGATTGTTTGAAGGGAGCGGGAGTGTTATGACCTGCAGCATTGTATTCGAAATAGGGGAGGTTTATAACCAAAATTGGGAAGGGCAACTGAAATTCAAATGGACAGCCACGATTAATAAGAGCTTTAATGAAGTCCAAGGGTTAGGATTGCGCCACGTCAGCAGTAGTTGTTATAACTAACTGCAGCAGAGGAGGCATCTTCATTCAGCAAAGTAAGCCTTCCTCTCTCGATTCTCTTTCCTCTCCAATTCTCTTTCCTTCTCTTCTTCTTCCTCCTACTAACCTACTTCTTCTTCTCTTCTTCTTCAGGTAACTCGACAATGGAGTTTCATTAGCAGTAGTTTCATCATTTCCAGTTGTAATAGATAGCTTTTTGTTTTATTTCGATAAATCAGAAAATTATCCCAAAACATTCTCTATTTCCCTTTCTACATTTGATTTCCTTTTTAGCTTAAGATCATTACAGAAAATAGTCCCGCGACAGAACGTTAAAGTATCCTCACCAGAATTTTGAAGCAACCCCCATAATATTGAAGTATCACCAGAACTTTTAGCGTCCGAAACTTTGAAAAACCTGAAATTATTATGATTACCAGAATTTTCAATCATAACGCTTAAAAACTCTGGTGATCCATCATGATTTGTGGCAAAATCCTAAGGATCACCATAACTGTTACGTACTTTGAAATTCTGGCAATCGAAAAAATCCTAGCGAGCGAATTTTAAATTTTTAGTGGGACTTTTTTCCCAAACTTTTATTGCCAAGGTCAATATCAATAAAGACACCGAAATATCCTATTTATATGATTCTTCCTTAAATGTTCGACTTCAAAACGTGCAACAAATGGCGGCCCAAGAAGTTATCCAACAACGAAACTCGTCTTCGATGGAGCCCAGTGGCTTAAATTCCCTTCTGGTGCTTAGGTTGGTATTGCTGGCTAACTAGTTTAGGGGTCGACTGGTTTTTTCTGTTTTCTCTTAACACATAAACATTGAACCAAATTCGGGAACCCTTATTTGTAATTAACTAAATACATTAAATTGTGTTCCTTTTACTATCGAACTATGTATGTATGACGATAAGGAGGTTCAAAGATTTATATGGCACACGTCCTCCTAAAAATTCCAATTTCTTGAAAGCTTGTTTTTGTTTCTTTTCATCTACTCTCCAGCCAAGGGTCTACACGAAATAGTTTCTCTACCCACCCAAAAAAGGGGTAAGGTCTGCGTACATATTACCTTATACCCCGCTTGTGGGAACTTATCCTTTGTTGTTGTTATTTCTTTCACTTTACTGAAATCATATATTAACTTTTTTAATATCTTTCACTTTTTAATATAATAGCAAATTGGAATTTTCGTTGGTTGAGGTTGGTAACTTGTAAGTTGTAACCAAGCCCTAGTGCTAGTAGACCGTCTGGCTACACAACGGAGGTCTCATCCAATGTCCAAAAGCTAAAATGGTCCAATCGTTGTAGAACGAAGAAAAAAAAGGAAATTTTACACCCTATAGAAAACCTTAGTACCCTATTCATTTTAAATAAATACCATTTTAAAAATATTACATCCTATAGATACCTTTTATCCTTTATAGCAAAATATCTAATTATAGTTACATCCTACAATTAAGGCACCATATATGCTAAATAATATTTCGCTCTCTCCTTTTTAGT